CCTTCAGTGAGTAATTAATCACAGCCAAATAAAACCAGAAATACTGGAAATCCACAGAACTGTGTGAAAGAGAAAAATAGATTCACATTTCATATATGACCCTTTCTCAGAGCTCAGTCTCTTTAAATTATTTTAGTTTTATCATTGATCAGATCCTGCTTTTGGTCAGACAAGAGAGTCTAATTTGCAAGTTGGGTTAACAACCCATTTGCAAAATTTGAGAGTTGGTTAATGTGCAAATGCATGTCGTGATAATTACTGATGACCTTAATTTATAATTAACAATAACAACTTGCATTTATGTAGGATAACATCTTGGAGTACTTCACAAGAATGGGATGTTAATAAAGGGAGAGGGGAAGGTGTAACTAAAGAAAATTATTACAGGTAATTCTGTAATACCTTTTATTGGTTATTAATGTGTTTGCAAATGGTAAACCTAATCTACATATTTAGACCTCAACATTAATACTGTCGATCACATTATTCCATTGACCCCTCTCCCACCTTGTCATCCAGGACTCTGCAGCTCATATCCTCTCCTGCACCAAACGCTGTGACCCCATTACCCCCAATCTCGTCCGTCTCCACTGGCTCCCCATTCCCCAGAGGATAAAGTTCAAAATCCTCGTCCTCGCCTTCAAGGCCTTCCCTACCTTTGCAACCCGCTGATCCCACATCAATCTGTCCGCTCCCTCCACTTAACAGGCTGCTCCACTTCCCCACTCGGTCCGCCCCACCATCGGTGGCCGAGCCTTCAGCCTTTCTGCCTCCCACCCTATGGAACTCCATTCTACATTCCCTTTGCCTCGCTCCCTCGCTGGCCTTCTTCATAGCTCGTCTTAAAAGCTTCCTCTGCAACCGAGCATTCAGCCGCCCTCCTACCCTCCCTGCCCTCCACCCTCCCCAATCGTGAGCTCGGGTCCAAATTCTTGACCCGTCAGCGTATTGGAGGTCCTCCTGATGGGAAAGGTGCTATACAAATGTAATTTTGTATTGTACTGTAAAGGCATGATCAAATGTTGTCAAAACACGCCCTGTACAAAGTTTCCATTACACAACTTCTCAATCATGCAAATCTCCATTGCATTGAATATTTGAAAAAAAATCACAGAAACAACAGTTACTTTAAAACATGTGTGTAGCCGTGGACAAATGAAGTTAAAGCATGTTAAATTACACCTTGACAAAACAATGACAGAGTTGCCTCAGTCCACGGAATTCCTAAATGTTGCTTGTGAGAAATGCCATTTATTTCAAAGGTAATGAAAAGTATATCAGTCAATGGTTATACACCTCCAATAATGAGGACCTTGTTGCTTCTAAAGCAGCTAATGAGCCACTTAAGCAATGTAAAACGCAAAGAGACCACAAATACAAGTGTGGAGCGTGGCAGTCAAAAGGACTGGATGGCAAATGTAGAAAAACAGCTTCTTAGACAAGCTGATAAGTACTGGTTGAGATGGTGCCATGGCGGGAGATGTGCCAATTGTACATTAACGGTGATTGCTCAGGGCTGTCTCCACCACAGCAGCATTGAAACCCTGTAGTGCACAAACAGAAGCTTGTAAAATATACAGTGTTGTTTAACCCTCCGCTGACTTCATTGGTCATTTAAAGGTGGTGCTAGGGAAATGACATGCAATTCAATAACTTACATTTATACATCATTTTCATGGTAAAGGACATTCAAAACCCTTCACAAATGATATTAATTAGACATGGAGTGAATTTGTCCTGCAGGACCACAGTGGCCCCTAATCTGCTCCAGCAAACTCCACCTAATATTATGAGACGAGTCGCCAATTAATCCTGATTTTATGTTTAGGAAACAACTATGTATTAAAGGTGCAATAATAACTGAAATTGTTGGAAATTCATAATGAATCAATCAGTAGCTGAAAGAGAAAGAAAATATGCTGGATTTGATTCTTCAATAGAAATGATTTGATAACAATGACCCTGCATTTGATAGAGCTCCGAGAATGATGAAGCGTCTTAAAGTGTTTCACAGATATTTGCTGTAAAGTGTAATAACTTTGTGTGTAGTCCATCCCAGAGTCCCTCAGACTCTTTTGTTTCCTTGTTCAAGGCCCGTCTCAACATGTAGCTCTTTGACTTCACTTTCAGTAATCTTTGGTTCCCCATCGCCTTCAGCACCCACCCCAGCTTGGGTTTCCATCCAGCAGTGTTTCAATCCTTTGAGACGTCTTCCCGAAATGAATGGTGCTATATATAACACAGCAACCAGTTTGCTCACAGCAATATCCCACAAACAGTCAAAAAGTGAATGATTAATTGTTTGCCATGCCTCCAGAAGAAACTCCATTCTCCTTTCAAATAGTAATTTAATAATATTCCTTGCGTTCCATATAGCTCCTTAACACGTCATTGAGATGTATCAAAGTGCTTCATAGAATTTTTCTGTGAAGTGTGGTGACTGTGTATTTGTAGGCAAATAATATTACAGGATCTTATAATAATATAATAATAATCCTTGCATTTGATATAGCGCATTTCACGTCGGGAGGACATCCCAAAGCGCTTCACAGAACACACTGTAAAGTGAATTGACTGTATATTTGTGGGCGAATGCGGCAGCCAATTGCGCACAGCAATTCCCACGAACAGTCGTAGATTGAAAATGACCAATTTATTATTGTTTTTGGTTTTGGAGGGATTATTATTAGGCGTGTGGAGTAAGGAAACTTACCCAAGGTTTCGCCCTGCCTGGAATTGAACTCAGGTCTCTCACTTGCAAAGCGAGTGCTCTAACCACTGAGCTACTGGACTCCACTCTTTAATATCCATCTGAACAGACAGTGGGGACTTCCGTTTTATGACTCATTCAAAGGGCAGAACCTCTGGCAAAGCAATGCTTCTCCAGCAATGCACTGGAGTGTCAGGCTATCCTGTTGGCTCAAAGTAACCACATGGAGATTGTAACCACAACCTTCTGACTTAGTGAAAACTGTAGTAATTTGCTTCAGGTGAGGACCAATGGAGCCCAGAGGGCCCTGTGCAGATTGAAACTTGATCCCTAATTCAGGATGTGGAACAATAACAGATATTCAGCACAGGCTAGTAGAACACTTTGCAAGCTCACTAATATACAGGTTACCTGATGGTGCATCATTGAACATGAAATTATTCCCATGAGTGAAGGGGACTGATTAATTTGTGAGTACCACAGTGTGCGAGTGAATTATGAAGGTCCCATTCATCAGTGCAGTGCATTCTGTACTGACAGCTTGCCAATTGGGAATTTAATTTATATTGCAAGCATGATACCATATTAAGTAGAAAACACTTTACTATTGTATCAATGTTGTATCACTGAAGGCAGGTTCTTCCCACTTGGCTCCAGGTTAACTCTGCAAACCAAAACCCCACTGGGTAGAATGGTCCTAGCTGGACAAGGAACGGGAGCTTGCCAGACAATGCTCTCAAACACAAGCTGTATGGTTTTAACAGGTTAAATTCCAGCAGTAACCCAACACACACTCATGGGACCAACGCTTTAGCTCTTGCCAACCTTTTCCAAATACTGTACATTTTCTGAATTAAATAAGCAGGATGCATCCCTCCACGGAAAGTGTGTACGTGCCATTAAAGACTCGGGGAAATTTCCATGTGTTGGTGGCATATATATGTAGAACTCTCTGAGTTGGATACTCAAGGAAGATAATCATGGCACCTGGCTGACCAAACAATAAAATCAATATTATTTTAGTCTGGGCTATTATGAACGCTAAAATTTCATCTAGTATTAGCCTATAAGGTTGCTTTATCTTAAAATTTAAGTTCACACGTTATCGTGAAACATTATTAAATTCTCTTAAAAGAATTAAGGTTTCAATTAAGAACCTGGTTTCAAATTAAGATTTCATTTGGAAGTGTTTCAAAATTTGTTCAATCTTAAATTTCGAGACAAAATTTGTCTTATAGGCTCAGTGGAATTCCAGGTGTCGGCAGTGGATTGATTACGGTTTAAGGTTACAGTCAGATACAACTCCTGTAGCCATATAATCCAATAATTTCTCAAAGTGCTTGATCACATCTCAAGCTCACCAACTCCACTGGATTCCCATCACACAGAGGATCCAGTTCAAGATCCTGGTCCTCACCTTCAAAGCCCTCCACAATCTTGCTCCCTCCAACCTCTGCAACCTCCTAAGCCCCTACCAACCTGTTCACTCCCTCCGCTCAGCGGGCTCCAGCCTGCTTCACGTCTCCCACCTCGCTCGCCCCACTATTGGTGGTCGGGCCTTCCGCCACTCTGCCCCCACCCTCTGGAACTCCATCCTGCAGTCCCTCCGCCTTGCCCTCTCCCTTGCCACCTTCAAGAACCGTCTCAAGACCCTCCTCTTCGACCGTGCTTTTGATCTCCCTGCAACCCCCCTACCTCCACCCTCCCCCACCCCGACCCTAAGCTCGGGTCTGTAACTCTGTCTGTCCAGCGCCTTGGGACATCCTGAAAGGCACTTTACAAATGTAATTTTGTTGTTGTTGGAGGAGATTTGGAATGCAACAAAAAACAAACAATTTTCAGAGGTGCTCAATAACAGTGATAGAAATCCACTTACTACTTTGCTCTCCTGGCCTGTCTTGTTTAAACACATTTGAAGCATTTTATAATAAGTACAATTTTAAAATTTCTGAGTGCAGAAGGGGATTAAACTGATTCCTCATTTGTAAATACACTGTGCAAGGGAGGGACAGTCCAATAACAGATCTCTGTTAATAAGTTACCAACAAATACAATACTAAGTATATTTGATACCAATTGTCTTTCCCCACACAAGTGGCATCAAATATGCCCAATATTGTATTTTGTTGATAATTTACTACTATACGAAATAGGTGTTGGCACTGCACAAATGGTATTGTGCAGGATGATACTTCTAATATTCAGTGATGTTTTATATTTTATTCAAGTAGTTGTTTCTGCCAGAAGATGAGGTACAATATTTGAAAATGTCTTCCCTAAACCATTGCAGGCTTGACACTTTTGATGTCTTGATACCTTTTGACTTCAAAACAGAGCCATCGTGGCTGAGCAAAAGATACCTGGGTAAGTTTGAATTAGTTAATGCAAATGTAAAACCATTTTCATACTTTGGATACTGCGCCACAAATGTTGACTGTTTTACAGACCTTGAGGCTAGGTGGGTGTTCAGGACTATTCCAATATTCAGTGGTCTCAGGTAAAAGACTAACAACAATTCCTGCAAGCAGAATGCTGTCTGAATTTGGAACCTACGACTTATTACTTTCAACACTGTATGTGCCCCAGGAGGTAATAATTACCCCATACCAGTTATTCTGTGTATTGCCTTTAAAATGGCGACATACACTGTTACTAAATTCTCTCTGAGAATAAATATTACCACACACATCAACGGAAACAAACTGAAAAAATAGCCCAGTGTTTACATTAAATAAATTAAAAAAAGCAATATTATCAGGCACATCAGTTTACATTAGATCCATAATAAGATTTATCCATTTAAAAATGCTGCACATTGTAGGCTCTTTTAAATCAGCTCTGTCTTTCAATAGAAAGTCATTTTATCAAATGTACAACCGAAGCTTTGTCATTCTCTTACAACTTTTATCTCTCAAATATAGCTATAGCATGGTTTACCTCTGCAATCATAGACTTAGATTTTCCTCCTACTAAGATAAATGACTGTTCTCTACTCTATAGTCATTTATCTGACACAGCACGGCTCTTGCTTGAGCTGATGTGTTCAGGCTAAGCAGAAACTGCACACAGAGCCTCCTTCAGCCATTGAAGCCACCTCTCAAACCCATAATTTTTACTCTGGTTTCTAGAATTACATCAATATGTTGCTGATATTGGTAGTTATTTGACTACATTTTGGAGTCAATTACATGTACTTCATTAGGACTATTGGAGAAATAAGTGTAAGTTAATAGATGTGAGGTATTGGAACTTAATATTTTCCTTTGGTTAATATTAATTAGAACAGCTAACAAGGATCTCCAAAATGTTATCAAAAAGATATTAAAGCACTTGAAGTGAAGAATGCAATATGTGACATGGGCCATTTCTCTCTTGGGCATGGCCCAGTTGATAATTGCCATATTTGGCTCTGAAGAGAAATGTGTGCACATCCCCAATCCCACCCTACCTCATATTTGTCGTTTGCTCAAACATTTCTACCCCAAAGGCAGTTACTACAGCTATTTGATGGAATGTTTCTGGTTTCTTACCAATGGAATGTTTTGGACGGCTTTATTGGATCAATATTTTCTACCTGAAGATACCTGATTCGATGGCTGCTTCTTATTGCCACACAGCCTGTGTCTCATTGTTAGATGAATGTCCACCAAAGAACTATAGAGCTTAATAATAATACTCCTTGCATTTGATATAGCACCTTATCACATTGTCGAGACATCCCACTGTGAAGTGGATTGACTGTGTATTTAATGGGCAAAATGTGGCAGCCAGTTTACACGTAGCAATGTCCCACAAACAGCCATAGAATATTTGTTGTGCAGAACACTGTGAGAAACTCCCTTCTTTTTTCGAATCGTACCATGGGGTCTTTAACTTCCACCTGAACGGGTAGATGGACCTCAGTTTAATGTCAGATCCGAAGGACGTTACCTCTGATAATGCAACGGCCCCCCAGCACTGCATGCAGTGTCAACTTAGAGTACATGATTCCAAGTCTCGACGTGGGGCTTGAACCCACAACCTTCTGACTCTGAGGTGTGAGTGTTACCACTGTGCCAGGCTGACACACAATTACAATAAAGAGGATCATTTGACCCATTGAATCTCTGCTGTCTCTTTGAAAGAGAAATCTATTTACATGCCTTTTCTCAATACATCTTCAATTTATTCCTAGATAACTAACTTAGAATTAGTTATCATTCTAAGTCCTTATTGAAGCTAATATACAGGGTGACCAAAAGTTGTGATACCATTACAATGTGTAATAAGCCTTAAAGAAATTATGGTATATATAAGATAATAGGGTAGTTATTACAACTCTTTGGTCATCCTGTCGATCCTACCGTGTTCATTGCAAGGCATTCAACATTGTAACAGCTCTCTATGTCATAAAATTCCTCCAATAGTCAATTAGAGGATACGATGTAACCAATCAGCAAGGGAATTAGTAAACTAAAGTCATATAATTTAATTTTAAAATTTGTTCATTTTCTACCAGCATTTAAAACAAATTAAAAATGTCACAATATTATTGTTCCTTCAAAAAAAATCAAGGTATTCATAACATTTTATTTTAAAACAAATTACAAACCAATTTCAAATTTTAGGCCCTTGGATATAAAAGTTATGTTCTTTCATATGGGGAGATATCTTTCAACACAGCAGTCTGTACTAGAATGAACAGCTAGAATGAACCTGGTGGCCTGTGCTGGATTCAAATAAGTTCTGTGTGCAAAATTTGATGTGATAGTCCCAATTAGGTCATATTTTTGAAAGCTATTTATTGCAGTATGTTGTTCAATTGTCTTCTTGCCTGCTTTAAATATGATGGTTAATGCAGACAAAGTGTCACACTGGTCACTGCTGCATCTACTTGTACCTTCTGTGGCTCCATTTAGCCACAAGTGTGTCTGGAATGAAGATGGAGGAGTCAAATCGTGGTTGATTGACAGCAGACTCCAGCCAATCACAAGTGGTTTTGAGCTGTCAATCAGTGAGGGGGCAGAGGAACACGAAGGAACAGGGAGGGAATGGGAGGAATCAAATCACAATTGATTGACAGCTGGAACTGCTTGTGAATGGATGGACTGCAACCAGCTGTCAATTACCTTGGGGCCCCCACTTGGTCCCCTTCCCATCCAATGAGAATGGCAATGGGAAGGAGGAGGCGCTGCTACTGTGCTGCTGGGCGGGAAGAGATAAGAGAACTTTGGTTAACCTCTTTCTCTGCTTAAGCCGGACAAAATGTCCGACCCTGATGTATACTGCTTAAGCGGCTTCCACTGTATTTGTTCCATTTACCCTATGCAAAAAGCAAAAGCTTTGTCATCTCTTTTCTTTGCATTAACAAAATTGTTCAACAACAATAACAACAAGCTTTTTGCGTAGGATGAACACTGCAAAGCACTTAACTGACATGTTAGGATATGTTAACTTTAAGGGTTAAAGGAGAATTTTTTTTATTATGGATTCACAATGAATTACAGCATAGAAATTGGCTATTTGGGTCCATTGAGTTTGAGCTGGTGTTTTCCTCCACATGCACAATTTAATTATTCAATTCACCTACTCGTTACTCATACCTTTAATATAGGTCTTTTTCAAGTATCTAATCTTATTCTCTTTTAAAAGAATTTATGGACTCTACTTGATCTATGGTTCATGGCAAGAAATTCATATTTGCATCGCCTCCTGTGTAAAGATTTTTTCTAATCTCATCACTCCTTTAATTCTTTTTCTGGTATCTTTATCAGATTTAGAAAAAACCTATGAACAGTATCCACAATAACAACTTGGATTTATATAGCGCCCTCCATGCTGGACGGTGTCTCAGAGCGTTTTACAGTTTCGGATCTTCAGCAGAGACCTGAAAATGGGAAGGGAGGTAGCAGGGCGAAGGGAGTGAGGAAGGCAGTTCCAGAGCCTCAGGGCATAGTGGCTGAAGGGCACGGCGCCGAGGGTGGAGCAAAGGACTCTGGGGACAAGGAGGGAGCCAGACTCGGAGGAACGAAGGCAACGCGTGCTGTTTTGAGGAGAGAGGAGGTCAGAGAGGTAGGGGGGTGCAGAGGAGTGCAGGGACTTGAATACGAGGGTGAGGATTTTGAAGTTGAGTAAACTATGGGAGAACATGTTTCTTACCTTGTTAGAACAGCCTCTGTAGTTCCATGTACTTTAATGCATCACTTTCTTTTTCCTTTATCACTCAGTGAATCTGGTCTCAACAGAGGTTACGTTCTTCACTTGTGGGCTACTCTTTGCTGGGGTGGTTAAGGAATGGGTGTGGGATTATGCCATTACCATTACTCTTGTTCATATTGCAGTAACTTCAGCAGGTAAGTGCTACTCCAACTCTCATAAATTAGCAAAACTTTGGTTTGTGTCCTTTGAGTATTCAGTGGACGATCTTAAAATGTAATTGTTTCTCCTATGGAAAGGTGCAATACTCTTTAGATAAGGAAACCCTTTTCACAACAGATCACAAGATGAAGAATGTCCTTTAGTTCATTTGATCTCAGAATACTCAGCCTACAGTCCTCCCATCACAACTTCAAGTTGTAAAAGTATCCAGTGTCCCAGCATCAACTACACTTTTTGGTAACCTCTTCCAGTTATTAATCATCCTATGGGCAAAAAACAATACTTCCTAGTGTCTGTGCTGAAATTGCCTTTTAACCCTTAAATGGTGTCCTTTTTTCTGCTGTCTTGGTGTATCTGAAAGTATTGCTATATATTTATTTTTTCTATTATAATTAGAAATGTATATATCTCTATGAGGTCCCCTCTGAATCAGCTCTTTTCAAGCCTGAAGAGCCCTAGCTTGTCTGTGACTCATAGATCATTCCTCTAACTCTGAGGGATCATCCTTGCTGCTCTCATTCGTGCTGTCTATAGAGCCTAAGCAGTCTCCTTATGTACCTTTTACAGTCTATCTTATGATAAGATTCTCAATTCTAGCATCTTTGGCACAATACAACCACATAAAAANCTACTTTTTATTCATTTTTTAAAAAAAAGTAATCGAAGCACTCTTCTTTCTTAAAAAAAAGAGAACTTTCAGCTCAGTTCCTAGTGGTTGTGAATCCAATCATTGGTGATTGTGGGGGATGAGAAACTCTCTCTCAGTAGTGAATTTAGATGATCTCCAGTTATCTACTGTTGTAGCCTTGTTGTTGTGGTTCTTTCATAATACCCTGATACAGCAGGTCTGTAGAGCAGGTGAAATTCACTTCTCTGGCTATAAAATCATGGTAAGAGCAAGATTTTGTACTTACAACCAAGTGCCGCCATCCCCTAACCCCACCCTTAGCTACAGTTTATGTGTTTCAGTGATCCTTTAAACAGATCTTACATTCTTCTCAAGTATTCAACTAATCTCTCCAATAATACCTTCATAAAAATGTATGTATTTACTGGACCTTTCTGGAACTTGCTGATTACTTTTCATATAATCATATGAGCTGCTTATGACAATGTACAACGTTTGTAGTACAATGAAACATGCTGGAAATGTGCATTCGGGATCATAGCACTTACTCTTACAAACAAGGTTCTTTAGTAGTCAATTGTGCTGTCTTGTCAGAGAGTATATCAGTCTACAGAAGTTTAGTTTCTGAGCCTATGATGGTGTAATGCAGCGTTGGCAGATTTACAGTATGTTTGAAGCACTTTGCAAACTCTTGCCTGTGCCTGCATGTAGCTCAGAGTCAAGAATGTTGTCAACGGAAGCACAGTCCAATGCAATAAAAACCATTACACCATAGTCATCTAGTCCTATGTATATTTGAGATCTCTGAATGTGTAGTTGTTCCTCAAAGAGCACTTCTTCCAATGCAATGCTCACACAGACTGACTGCTAGCTTCATTGGTTTCTCGGATCAGATATGACCACTAGGCGACACTATGTTCACATTTGTTTGGAAGCTTCCTGCTGAAACGAAACTAGTCAAAAATACTTTCACTTCAACAAAGTTGTATTTTGGTTTGCAGCTAAGCTTTTAATTGTTTGTAATAGCATTCAAAACATCTTCCTTTTCTAAGTCTTTACATTTCAATATTTTCCATTGTGGTTGCTATTCATTTGAATGATATTTAGAGACCAAAGTTCAGTTATGAGGATTTCAACCGGTTAAATCTAGGAACAATTAAATCTAATAGGGCATCTTGAGAAGACAATGATCAGTCTATAGTTATACAGCACAACAAACTGTGTTAATGATCTCAAGATGAGAAGGAAGAAAAAAGGTCTATATCACTAGGAAAATTGTTAGCATATATCTTGATGAAGTACCAAACCTGAAAGCCATAGCTTCATAATTACAGTGAGGAAACAATGTTAGACAGAGAGATGTACATTGGATTAGTACAGCATTCTTTCATAAGATTAAAAACCACATGAAAGCTTCAGATGAAGAGGTCCTACAGCTCATCTGATCTCATCCTTCCAGAATACCCACCCGACCATCTTCTTATCACAGCATCAATATGTTTCTTTAAAACAACGTCACTTTCTGGCCTCAACCATTCTTTCTGACAACCTGTTTCAGTCTTCAATTTCCCTCTGGGTAAAGAAGTACTTCCTGGTGTTTGTCCTGAGATTACTTTTAGAATTTTTAAATTGTCAAGAGGCATCTGAAACTTTTACATAGTTTGTGTTCAGCTAGACTCATGGGAGGAACTATGACTTCTTGCTTTAGTTCTACTCTCTACACCCAGATTATTCCTTCTTTTGTTAATTTCTAAATTGTCACCAAACCTGATATTTTGGTTCACGTTGTCTTGCCCTTTAAATAGATAATAGCATGTAAAGCAAAAGGAACAAAATGCATATGTGTATGTAATTAAATTGTGTATTGAACGCCTGTATCCTGGCTGACAATCCTCCAGCTAAAAATATGGTCATTCAGTTCAAGTTTGTGGGATGTTGCTGTGCAGAAATTGGCTGCTAGATTTCCCTACATATGTATCCTACACTTTATAATAAAATCCTATAAAGAGCTTTGAGATGTTTTGTTGAAGTGATAAGGTGCTATATCAAATGTAAAAAAAACTTTTATATATACACAATAAACTGCTACTGATAGCTGATCACTCCCAAGGGAAAGAGCTCAGTGATGAGTTATCCTGAGTAGCAAGTTAGGCATATGTATAAATACAGCGGAACAATGATTGCATTTGGAACCATCACAAGAAGGTCAGACTGGGAGCGCAGAAGCATGTCTTAGTGAGGAGAGAATTAAGTGGACACACTTAAAACATTTGTTAACCCCACCCCCACCACCCCCTTTGGAAGTGTATTGAATTTTTGCAGTTTGCACATTTTTTTTATTTTAGAATGTCTAACTTGAATACAATTTGTCGTATTTTTCAGTTATGGCTGAATTTCCATGTGTGTGGCACTGGTGGCTGGCTGTAGGTAAGACTTTATTCAAAACTACTGATCTATGTGTAAAATATGATTGCTAGCATCACATTTGCTCAATGCTTGAACATAAGTGCTACATGTGCAACACATTTTAGACTTAGACCCTGAATAGAATCAAACAGAAAGAGTGAAAGCATAGATGAGTGTCTGGATGTTGAAACATTTACTTTACATCAGTGTGGCAAAAGCAAAACCTATCAGTGTGGATCAGTTCCTAGCAATCTCACGTCTGGGTTGGAATGTTGTGGTTTCAAGCCTCACATTGTGACCTTGAGCTCATAGTCTAAACCAGTCGTGGCCAACCTGTGGTCCACGAGCTGGAAGTGGCCCGTGGGACTATCAAGAAGTGACCGCCCCCTCCGAATATTTTCAGGAGTCTAGGTAAGTCGATGTTTGATTGGTAGTGTGTTTTCAATGTTTTCTTGATTGAATATATGATTGATTTATGGCACAAATAAGAAATATTCAATCAAGAAAATATATTTTGTTGGCCGGCCATAAAGGTTGGCCACTACTGGTCTACCCTGACATTCCAATGCAGCGCTACTATAGTATTGCTATTACTGGGGATGTTCTTCAGGTGAAGTGTTAAACCAATGTCCTGTCTACCTGCTCAAATGGATGTTAAAGATCTTATTGGACTATTCAAAAAGTTTCTCCTAGTATTCTGTCTAACAATCGTCCAGATAAAATTGAGCAGGCATTTCATGAGTGTTTTTCAGAGTATTTGTGCACAAATTGGCTGTTGTATTCACCTATCAATGTAGTAATTACACTTTACAGAAAATCTCTGCAAAGTGCTTTGAGACTTTTAATATGGCATTTATCAAATGCAAGGAACAGATTACAAAATAAGTTGCAACAATAATGGATTTAGATTAAAACAAAAAATATTCTGTATCATGGTACAAAGTTTATCAATACAAAAGGCCAATATGAAGCAGAACATTTTCAGCAGGCGTGTATTAGGATCTTGTTTTTCAGAGGTGAGGACATACTTACACTTCCCTATCTCATTGTGGGAGTCCTGTAGCTTATTGGTTAGAGCACTCACCTCGCAAGCGAGAGGACCTGGGTTTAATTCCCGGGCAGGGTAAAACGTTGGGCATGTTTCCTTGATCCACGTGCCTCTATTTATCTAGCAGTAAGTAGGAACCCGGTTGTTAGTTGATTGGCAGATCGCTTTTCCGGAGGTAATAATCTGTTCAAAAAAAATAATAATTTGGTCACAATTGTCTGCTGTGTTTTGCCCAACTATAGTCAACTCACTTTCCAGTTTATTATGTGAAACACTTTGAGATGTCTCAAAGACATGATAAGGCGCTATATCAAATGCAAGGATTATTATGGTTGAGCAAGACAGACTGGTCAATAGTTGACAGTGCCTTAGATTACTGCAGACCTGTTATGCTTTGTCTGTCTCCTCACAGTCAGATCACCTCAAAGTAATCTCTTCTTACTTTACCTTCTCTCCACCCCTGAATATATTAATGCATTTCAGCCACTTAAGCTATTCAGATAATTAACACATTAAAAAAAATAAAGGTATGGAATTGAAAAGAAATCACAGGCCCGAGAGATAGTGCGGAGGGAAGCAACGGCATGACCTCTCAGTGTACAAGTAATATCTATGAGCTATGATGCTAGGCTCTCCAGTCTTGAAAAGAGATGTCTCAGAGGGGACGTTATACAGATACATAAGATCTTAAATGAAATTGAGACCATAAACTCATACTGATACTTTCATTTGCCTTTAGAATGAGAGGACATAGGTTTAGGGTTGCAAAGGGCAATTTCAGGACAAACACAGGAAATATTTTGTTACCCAGACAGTAATTAAAGATTGATGCAGGTTTCATCCACACCTTCAAGAATGAGGTAGATAGATTTTTGGTAGGTCAGAGTATTAAGGGATATGGGGAAAAAGCAGGAAATTGGAATTGAAACGATTAGTTGAGCTACAGATTAGTCATGATCTAATTAAATGGTGGAACAGGCTTAAAGGGCTGAATGGCCTACTCCTGCTCCTACGTTCCTATGTTCCCATGTTGCCAGTTAGGGTGGTTGAGGCCTAAACATTAAAAAAAAAGCTTAATGCTGTGAAGGGAGATGGTAATCTGCATATTCTGGAAGAGTGAGATCAGACAGGCTGAAGGTCGTCTTTCTCGGAACCTTTCGTATGATTGTCAACTTTGTGAAAGATTGCTGTACTAACCCACTGTACATCTCTCTGTCTTTGCTCACACTTGTCCTTCCTTCTCGAGCACCTCCAGTCCAATTTTCACCCTGCTCACAGCACTGAGACTGGGCTTATCAAGGTTACAAATGACTTCAAGATTTCAAGATCCTCACTCTGTCAAATCTCTTCAGGCCTTGGCACCTCCCCGCCTCTCCAATCTGCTCACATACCATTCCTTTACCCGCTGCCTTCACTCAGCTAGCACAGGTTTGCTGCAAGTCCCTCATCCCTTTCACTTCACAATTGGTGGCCGTGCTTTCAGCCTCTATGTCCTGAATCTCAGGAACTCCTTGCATTAATCCTTCCATCTTGCCCCCTTTCTGCCCACCTTCAAATTACACTTGGAAACTTTCCTCTTCGACCATGCCTTGAGTCATCTCCCCCACTTTCCCGCTCGGGGTCAAGTCATGTTGCTGTTAATCGCTCTGTGATACTACCTGCACGAAGGGTGCTATATAAGTGCAAGTTGTCTTGTTGGTGTGGTAAGATCATTCCTTACTGTAGTTATAAAGCTGTAGGTTTTTGACACTTCATCCAGATTAACAGTTTTCCTAGTGACATAGACTTGTCTTTTTTTGTCCTTCACCTCTCTTCCCCTCTCAAAATCGTTGTTTGTTGTGCTGGGACAGCTCTACACAGATCCTTATCTTCCCAAAATGCCACATTAGATTCTATAATTTCTAGATTTAACAAGCTAAAATACAATTGCCTGTTTTCCCTCGAAAGGTCAGTTAAAGCCAGCATAATGCATTTATCTGTGATGCAACTCCTGTATTCTGGAAGAATGAGATTAAATGGGTCAAATGACCTTCTTCGTCCATGTCTCTCTTATAATCTTGGGAAAACAAAACATTGACTGAATAAAATTAAAGTTATTGAACTGCAACATCAAAGTGTATAAACCTAATAAAAAGAGCAGCGAATTCTCAAAAGAACATTTTAAAAGAATAATCTGAAACGATTCTGCCAAACAAGTCAAATCATACAATACATGATCATAATATTCAATTGCAGGTTTCTAATTCTTATGAAATGGTACTTTTTAGAATGTATTTTTAAAGATAATCCTTCATTCATGCAGCTGATTTTGAAAAGAACTGACAAATATATGAATGTAATTATATAATCCATTGTATGATGGGTTAGCATTAAAACCAGTAGAAGGAAAAAAGACAAAGATATATAATAACATATATATTGAGAGTAAGAGAAAACCCACAGTACTATTCTTGAAATTTCATTTTATTCAAGGCCCATTATATATATATTTCAACATGTGAATGTCTCTTATTTTATTTAACAAATGAAAAGTTGAACAGCACCATCTTGTGGTCTTGCGAGAGAGCAAGTCAAATTGTTTTAAATAATGTATATGAATTCTTATGGCTAGTTGGCATTGGATAATTTTATTTTGTTGTGTATATAATATTCTGATAGGGCCTTTTTTGCCATTTTACCCTCAAAAATCCCTAGAAGTATTGTAACTGATAACATTTAGTCAAATAGCTAAAGAATGTAAAATATTCATTTTTATGAATATTTGCGAGTGGAGGAAGGTTTTCTTCAAACTTGGGGAACCATGGCCATGAGGAATAGCATAGTGTTTTCTTGGATTAAACCTTTTGTCTTAAACGCCCTTTGTCCTACATCACTCAGCTCTACTTTAATCTGCATACTGAAGCTCCACTATTCAAAAGACCCAGATTACTCAGAACTCTGCTGCCCGCAAACATACCCAAACCAAACTGTACCCACATCTCACCAGTTCTGGCCAGACTCCACTGGCTCCCCATCACCAAATGGATCAACTTCAAGATCCTCACAAAGGAGAAGGTGTAAAGTAACTCCAAAAGGAAGGGTTTTACAATGGTGAAGGTCAACCAAAAAAAAAATAAAGGTGAATGTGAAGTCGTGTACTGACCATGGGCAGCTTATATATAAGAATGTTTTTATTATTGTAAACCCGTTGTGATGCTGAAACAATATCAAGTTAAGCAGCAATTCTGCCAAATGTAGGTTTTATTTTCCAGCAGCTGTAAGACCCCTTCCTCTGAAAATTATTTTTCTATTCCCCATTTCTTTGACCGTGGAATCCCGTGGCTTAGTGGTTAGAGCACTCACCTCGCAAATGGGAGACCTGGGTTTGATTCCCAGCAAGGCAAAACGTTGAGCAAGTTTCTTTACTGCACACACATGCTTCTTTTTACCTAGCAGTAAGTAGGAACCCAGTTGTTAGCCAATTGGCGGATCACTTTTCTGGGGAAAATAATTCCTTCAAAAAAAAGATCAACAATAAATTGGTCTCTTCAATCCACGACTGTTTGTGGGACACTGCTGTGTGCAATTGGCTGCTGCATTTCGCCCACAAAATATACAATCAATTCACTTTACAGTATATTCTGTGAAGCACTTTGACACATCTTGAAGATGTGATAAGGCACACTATCAAATGCAAGGATTATTATTATTCTATATCAGACCCTGGCCACGGCCAGAAGCCCTGATAGGCTGCTGCCTCCCTGGCTCAAACCCTGGTCACAGCCAGGAGTCCAGACCACCCAACTGTTACCAGACTTCACTAATCCCAGTCAGAAAATGGTTAATAGTAGATGACTCTACCTCCAGTTTACCCTCCTGTTGCTCTGTACAGTGTATTGAGGGTTTACATTGCACAGGGCCAGTGTGATGCTCACTCTAATGTCATGTTAATTGTAACTTTTTTCTGGATGGTCATTCACTCATAGGACTTTACAAATATCCCTGAAGTTTAATACTCATTAATGTAAGATATAGGATCCAAGAATAGGAAACTCAAGTACTCCGTGAATGAAACTGAACTTGCTATGGGGGAAGCTGAGAGAGATGTAGGGTGTTAGTTGACTTCTTGCTCACAATGTCAAAACAATGTGAATTTGCAAAAAACAAGGCAAACAGTATGCTGATCTATATTGTTAAATCAGTTGAGTTTAGATCCCAAGGCATTATTCTCAGGCTGTACGTTGCTCTGGTCAGACCGCACCTTGAATACTGCATACACTTCCTGTCACTGCAATATAAGGGGGTTGTTCAGGTCCTAGAGGTGGTACAGAGGAGAGTAACAAGGATAATCCCCAGTGATAAAGAAATGAGCTATGAGCACTGACCAGACAAGTGGTAGCCAACCTGTGACTTCCCAGAGGTGAATGGGGCCGTCAAGAATCATGTCCCAGTTTAACACTTCTACATTTATCTGAATGAGAAAATCTTTGAACAATCCATTTTACCAACAGTTATACAGTTATATGGAATTTGTCACAGGGCCTTAACCCTTAGACTATGGGAAGACTACAGAATTTCCTGTCTTTCTCAGTTGACCATTTCTATGTGTGTTGAGCTCATGCACTGTAACCCTGAATAAACGCTAATTTAAATAACAATTTGCATTTATATAGCACCCTTCACTGCATAACATCTCAGAGCGCTGTACAGTGGTAGGGGTTAGACACTGAGCAAGGAAAAAGGGGAAAGGGGAGGTGACCATAAGCGTGGTGCCTTTACGTTCTTTGCCTATTTTCAGATCATACTTTCGTCTTTGACCATACCTATGGTCACCTACCCTTTCTTCCTGGCATCAAATTATAAAAATAATATTTGCATTTGATATAGCACCGTATCACGTCTTTGAGACGTCTCACAGAATACATTGTAAAGTGAATTGACTATTTATTTTGTGGCTGAAATAATATTATTAATAATAATAAAAATTATAATAATCTTTGCATTACCGAATTATGCCACTTAAGCGATCTGAGACACTATTCTGTGTGAAGTGCACCATAAAAATGCAAGTTGTTGTTGTATATTACATGAAATGTCTCACAGACTTCAAGAATCCTTCACAAGCTTTCGACCACTGTGAAATTAGTACCAAACTGGTTCACATATTGTGCAGTGCAATGCTGCATGTGTGCTGTATTTAATACATCTTGACATACTGTATCTGTAAAATAATAATTTAAAAATGTTCTGAGCCCCTTAGCAACAACGCATCTAATTAAAATCTGAAGAATTTCCAATTAAATCACATGTTGTAAAGTGCTGTTTGTAATGAAACTGCATTTAATTTGATTAGAATCCATTTAAAATATCCAGGGATTTCAATGTACTGTAGAACCAGTACAAACTGTGTTCACCTACAATTACAGTAAATCCTGTGAAGCACTGTGAGATGTTCTCTTGATATGAAAGGTGCTACATGAAATGTAAGAATTATTAATATCCTGGATTATTAATAATCTGAAATATCAGATAATTTTAGTTCTGCCTCTGGTTATAATGATGCAGTAACTTAACATAACAATAACTTTGTGAAAGTTTGGCAGTTTATTTGGATATCTTATTTGTTACACATCCAAACCGATTATCAAAACAAGATTATCTGATTTGGTGTTTTGATACTTAGGAAGACAATTATTTGGCTATCCAATTGTCCTTTATTCAGGGTTCAATGCCTGTTTTCGATGCATGTTGTAAGAAGCTTTACTCTGTTTCCATCTAGGCTGTGGATTGCTGATAATGATTTGCAGTGGCCAGCTTCTTGCACACTTTGCATTCGAAGACAACACTGTTCACCCTCTTCTGGAGGACTTCTAGCGAAAGAAAATTGAGTTGGTTGGATTGTTCTGGTTTCTCTCCTCGATCAGACAGCATCAGAATTTTCTGACATCTGGAATTGCTAAAATTTGGGACTCTTTATCGAATATAGAATACATGTTCTAGTGTTCTTTTAAATAAGAACATAAGAACTAGAAAAGATCATTTTGCATATCATCTTTTCTGCCAGCTACAGCTGATGTGACTAGTTTTAGCTCTCAATTCCTAGCTGAACCAGAATCTAATTCTTTCCTTTAAAAATTTTCACAGCTTACCCAGTCCATTTGGTAGCAGATTGCTCTGTAAATCGAGAACTCTGGGTGTGAAGAAGTTATGTTTCATTGTTAAGTTGAGTTTGTAGCCTTCTCAGTTTAGAATCAGATCTTCCATCTGTTCTATCATATTTTTGAACAAATACCTTTGAGTTTCCACCCTGTTATTTATTATTTTAAAAGCATTAATCTCTCTTTGCGCTGTATCACACTTTATCAGATGCCTATAACCTAGATGCCAGCCCAGCTCAGTTGCTAGTATTCTAAACTCTGAGTCAAAAGGTAGTGGGTTTAAATCCCACGTTGAGACTTTGAGCTCATAGTCCAAGATGACACCCCAATCCAGTGCTGGGGGAATGCTGCATTATCAGAGGTGCTATCTTTTGGATGAGATGTTAAATTGAGGTCTGTCTGCTTGTTCAGATGGAAGTCAAAGATTTCATGGCACTATCTGAAAAAGAGAAGTAAGTTTCTCCCAGAATTGAGGCCAACAATTCCCAAAATAAAATTAGTCATTAATGTTATGGCTGTTTGTGGGACATTGTTGTGTGCAAATTGGCTGCCGTGTTCACCCACAAAACACTTCACATTATAGAAAATCCTGTAACGCATTTTGAAATGTCCTAGGCGTGGAAGGCATTGTACATAATGTAAGGATTATTATTATTATCCCCAGATAAAATTGCTTATTTCCTACCTGACTGTTTATAGGACATTGCTGTACACAAGTTAGCTGTTGTTTTCACCAACAAAACACCTTCACTCCACTCTGCAGTAAATCCTGTCAGGCACTTTGAGATGTCCTCCTGGCATGAATGGTGTTATATCAAAATGCCTCAAGGATTTTATTATTATCATCACAATTTAAAGTCAGAACAATACAGATGTGCAATTACATTTTATAAACTGGTCTTTTGTAAATAAAGCACCATTTCAAGTGTTTAATATTTCTTTGGTGGTGTCGTACTGTATAATACTTACTGCATCATTGAATAATATTTTTAAACAAGGATATAAACCAGACTGTTGGAAAGCTCATGGGCAGGGCAAGCAACCAACACTCAATTATGTTATAGCCACACATAGCAGTGGAATCAATATCACATCATTCGAGTAGGTAATAGCTTTATTTAAGTGCACTTTTTTATTTTGTTCCATTTCACAAATCTCACAGCTAGAACACAAACATTACTGGTGTTTCACTTCAATAATTCAATTCTGCTTTGAGTTTACAAGACTGATTGCAGTGTTACTGAATACCAATGTACTTGAGCATTTGAAAATTTACATTTACAACCAAACTACAATACTATTAGAAGTAAGGAGGTAAAAGAAGATCAAGAACTGATAAGAATGAAATGGGATAGTTATGCAGGTACATTTCTATACTCTACTGTATCACTGTAATAAAGCAATAAAATACTTTTCTTTGTGCAAATAAATCTGAATGAAGAATGGTACAAAGGCAGACTGTCTGAAACTTCTCCCAACTGCGGTATTAAACTGAAATACTCTCATTATTTGAGATGTGTGATTCCAATATATGCTGGTCACAAAACATGTAACACTGCTCATATTCAGCAATTATTTCTTCGATTAGCAGCATCTGTGGGTTAAAGTGCCAAACACCTGTCTACCTGAGAGAATTCCTTGCATCTGTTGACAACTTCAGGCCACGATGACATGCCTACTGGAACCTTCTCAGTTTTACAGCCAAACAATTATTCAAATAACATTTAGATTTATTCACTATCAAAAACGGAAAGAAATTTTCCCGGTGTCATTAGCCAACAATCCTCCAGACAAAAAAAATGGTCTTTTATTTATACTTCTTGGCTGTTTGTGGGACATTGCTGTGTGCAAATTGGCTACCATGCTTGCCTACAAATACACCTTAAATCCTACGAAGTACTATTATATATTTTGATAACATGATAGGGTGCTATATCAAATGAAAGGATTATTATAATTGGCTGCCGCGTTCGCCCACAAATGTACAGTCAATTCACTTTACAGTGTGTTCTGTGAAGCGCTTTGGGACGTCCTCCCGACGTGAAAAGCGCTATATCAAATGCAAAGATTATTATTATTATTATGATATGCTTGTTCCTGGCTTTTTTCCCAATGATTTGCGGCACATTAAACTTCGCCAAAATATATAAATCGGCTGAGGATATGTTATATTCCAGCTCTGTGACACAGATTCCTATTTGAAAATATCAGCTTGATTTAGTTAAAAATAATTACACTGAAAAAATAATTACACTAAAATGAAAAAGGTCTATCTTGCATTGCTAAATAAAAAAGATCAATCTTTTTGTTATTTGCTTATAATGGGAGATTCCAAGTAAAAAAAACATATAATAATATAATAATCCTTAATTTTCACATCGGGAGGACATTTCAAAGCGCTTCACAGGATATACTATAAAATGGAGAGACTGTGAGCAAGATATTGCTAGTGATTAATGCATGATCCACACCAACATTAATGGTTCACGACAATATTCACAGACAATTGACGATTGGCATTCAGTTAACTCATTGTTTATAGCTGGAAGCCAGTTTCTAAATAATAAAAAAAGTGAAGATTTTTTTTAAGAACTGTGAAAAATCAGCTTTCAAACTGAAACTGAATTTTAGATCATTTATATAAGTCAGCAATATTTCTGCCTTAACAAAAGTAATGTGGCTGATGTACATCAGCTGGTCTGAAGATACTGATACCAGTGCCGGAGTCTAACTAACCAGCAAAAGGAGCCTCACTGTCATTGGTTGCATGTTGTGTTATTTTACTGCAACAGATGCTGTTTGCAGTATATCCAAGTTCAAACAGTTATTTCTGCCCCCTTAAGGACCATAAGTAAACAGTAAAAGCATAATGCAAATGTTTCTATTTTTAATTTTTCTCTTGCCATTCATTGTGTAGCTGTTCAACTGAACAGATCAACTGGATATGGAAAAGTCCATGATATGGCAGGTTTGGGATAAATGATGGAGAGAGTAGGTTTGATACATTGTGTCCCCCAATGTAATCCATATACAAAATAGGACCAGGTCATTTTGCTCTACTCCCTGTCCAAGCAAAATCAAGAGAGACTAAAGCCTCTGTGTGAGGAGAAGTTGATGGTGGGAGAACCCTGTTTTTTTTCCTGGGTGATGAGAGGAATATTCCTGCCTTTACTCAGGACACAGATGAGCCACCACCACTTGTAAGCCACATATTTCTGGGACAATGGAAAAAAACCCTGATCGCCCTGCGACTCTTTATGGCAGAGAAGCTGGGATCTAACCTGAGCTCCAAATACCTCGCGTTTGACAGATGTATATTAAACTAAGCTGCACGTCAGCGACCACCACTTCTAATCGTTTAATAGGATTTAAGGAGATCCAGAGAAACAGTCTGACTAACAGCAGCTTCTGGACGCAATGCTGAGGTTCTATTAAATGCCACTGTTGTTGTTTGGATTGTATTTTTCTGGAAATACAATTGCCAGAGGGACTGCAGGCAGTTACGTTTCAACTTCCCAAGAGACCAAGACACTGTTTAGCAAACGTGATCTGGATGAGACATCTCCAGAATGGTTACGATGGCTACGAAGTTAGTACATTGCCTTCACTTCAGGTAAGATTTGTGGCCTTTTGAAGTTTTGGGACATCTACATTTAAAATAATATTGCAAAGGTGTCCATGCTGGTGTCAATCTCTCACTTCCCATGTTAGGATCCTGATTGAGTTACTGTTAATGCAATTTGGCAAAATAGAATCAATGTTTATCTCAGTTTTTGCCAAGTGCTGCAAAGGATGGGAATAGGGCACATTGTGAAATCTTACCGAGCAACTTTTTTCAGAGACAGTGTCAATTAATTTGAAGGCTGCATTCTACCTCAGCACCATTCATGAGTGCAGGAACCTGTTTAGTCATCTTTAAATTTGACTGCTTTATTGTGATCTTATAAACTTATAGTTCAAATTAATCTTATGTAAGTTCTATTTTTATTAAACCTCTCTGAACTGGGTTTGATTCCCAACAGGGTGAAACCTTGGGCAAGTTTCCTTACTCCACACACCTGATAATAAGCCCTCAAGAAAAAAAAGCAATACAAAAATTGGTCACTTCAATCCACAAGTATTTGTGGGACACTGCTGTGCGCAAATGGCTGCCGGGTTTCGTCCACAAAATATTCAGTCAATTCACTTTACAGTATATTCTGTGAAGTGCTTTAAGACATCTAGAAGACGTGAAAAGCACAATATCAAATGCAAGGATTATTATTATTATTAATGACTAGTGAGTACATTGGTAAGCAAATGTATGGATACAGATTATATGGACTGAATGATATGGACCTGTTAATCTGTGAGTGGATATAACCTGAGTATAATACTTGTACTAACCTCTCACAAATCACAAATGCCTTTCTGTATGAGGAGAATGTCACAACTGAGTATTCATGTCAAATGAAGGAGATGGTTTTGGTAATGAGGTCAGAAATTTCACTTAATCTTAACCTGTAGACAAATTTATCTTTATGATCACACACAATTGTGGAAAATTATTGAATCCCACCTTAATTTGGAAGCCAGTTTTCTGAAGTGGTTAAAAAAATCTGTCTGAGTTAAGGTTGAATATAAGATTTTTCCCAGGATGATGGTTCAGTCAAGATCATTCATTCAGCCTGTGAAGAATCTCGTCAGTGCACCCATGTGATGTGATTAATATCACCC